GGGTGCAGAGGAGAGCGACAAGGATGATCGGGGGCCTGGAGACCGAGAAGCCCTGCGAGGAAAGGCTGGAGGACTTGGGAATGTTCGGTCTGGAGAAGAGGAGGTTAAGGGGGGACATGATGGCTCTCTTGAAGTATTTGAAGGGCTGTCCCTTCAAAAAGGATGTGGACAGAATGGAGCGGGTGCAGAGGAGAGCGACAAGGATGATCGGGGGCCTGGAGACCAAGAAGCCCTAGGAGGAAAGGCTGAGGGACTTAGGAAGGTTCAGTCTGGAGAAGAGGAGGTTGGGGGGGGACATGATTGCTCTCTTGAAGTATTTGAGGGGCTGTCACTTAGAGGAGGGCAGGGAGCTGTTTCTGTGGGCAGCAGAGGAGAGGACTCGCAATAATGGGTCTAAGTAAAGGGTGGGGAAGGTACTGGCTGGATATTAGGAAGAACTTTGTTACAGTAAGAGGTGCAAGAGTGGAATCGGCCGCCTAGGGAGGTGGTGAGCTCCCCCTCCCTGGCAGTCTTGAACCAGCGGCTGGAAAAACCCTTGTCAGGGATGCTCTGGGCCAGGGCTGGCCAAACTGTGGCTCAGGAGCTGCACGTGGCTTTTCGACACATATTGTGCTGCTCCCGGCAGGGCAGCTGGGGAAGCGAAGGGGGGGGCGTGCCTTCCCAATTGGCCTTCCCTTCCCCAGCCGGTGTTTCCCTTCCTGGGCAGGCTTGGGGCGGGGGGGGCAGAGAGAAAAAAAGCAACTTTAACTTTAAATGCATTCTCAAAGGCCCCCCCCCAATATAATTGGACAAATAAATATCATTATCAATATCTATTCTTACCCCTTTTATTTTGGGCAGTCTCATTTCACGTTAATAAAAAGCAGATCTGCGTATTTTCCAATAAAAAAAATCTCTGTCGTATTTGTTCACGTCATTCGGCTCTCAAACATCTGATGTTTGTTCTGTGTGACTCTTACGTTAAGCAAGTCTGGCCACCCCTGCTCTAGGCTGGTCCTGCATTTGGCAGGAGATGGCCTCTAGGAACCCATTCCAACTCTGTGATTCTCTGAAATGTCTCTTGCCTTGGAATCCGCATGAGTCGCCATAAGTCGGCTGTGACGATGGCACTTTACACACACACAAACACAGAGAAGACCGTCATCTTATTTACATCTTGGGCACCTGGAGTGACTGATCTGTCCAACCAGAGCCCAGCTCACCCTCCCTGGCATGAGCCCTGCAGACGCTGAAAGAAGGAGGGGCTATCTGCTGAGCTGCCAGTAGATGTTTAAATTGTGGACTAAATTTTAAATTGTCTGAGTTGGCGTTTGAATGAGCCATTTTATTTAATTAATTGTAGGGTTTTATTGCCAGGCGATGTTGTGAGCCGCGCTGAGCCCGCTCACGGGGGTGGGGCGAGATAAAAGTCTCAATAAATAAATAAAATTAATTAATTAATTGGAAGGGGACAAAGCACAATGACAGAACGATCTCTGCTGGCCAAAGATCCCAATTCCAGTCTTGGGAATCTCCATTTAACGGCTCCTATCCCATGCGGAAACATTCTCTGCACGAGACCAGAGAACCGCTGTCCACAAACAGGGTCAGCCTAGAAGGATCTTTACTCTGACAGGACAAAGGAACCGCTTATATTCTAAAGGTGACAACTGAAATCAGTCTAGAAGGATCTTTACTCTGACAGGACAAAGGAACCGCTTATATTCTAAAGATGACAATTGAAATCAGTCTAGAAGGATCTTTACTCTGACAGGACAAAGGAACCGCTTATATTCTAAAGATGACAATTGAAATCAGTCTAGAAGGATCTTTACTCTGACAGGACAAAGGAACCGCTTATATTCTAAAGGTGACAACTGAAATCAGTCTAGAAGGATCTTTACTCTGACAGGACATAGGAACCGCTTATATTCTAAAGATGACAGTTGAAATCAGTCTAGAAGGATCTTTACTCTGACAGGACAAAGGAACCGCTTATATTCTAAAGATGCACCTTGGTGTTTAGTCATGCCGGCCACATGACCACAGAAACGTCTTCAGACAGCGCTGGCTCTTCGGCTTTGAAACGGAGATGAGCACCGAAACCCTAGAGTCGGATTCGACTGGCTTTCGAGCAAGGGAACCTTTACCTTTATCTCATGCGGAAACATTCTCTGCACGAGACCAGAGAACCGCTGTCCACAAACAGGGTCAGTCTAGAAGGATCTTTACTCTGACAGGACAAAGGAACCGCTTATATTCTAAAGATGACAGTTGAAATAAAATCAAGAAACGTGGGTCAAAGGTTCCTAAATATGACAGCGACTAAACCGTTTGGATTCCTTCTACAAGATGATTTGGGAGGGAAGGTGATGGATGGGATCTGAACTGGCAGAGATTGACCAAGAGAGAGATCTTGGAGTCGTAGTAGATAACTCAATGAAAATGTCTAGACAGTGTGCAGCTGCAACAAAAAAGGCCAAAGCTATGCTCGGGATTATTAGGAACAGAATTGAAAACAAATCAGCCAGTATCACGATGCCCCTGTATGAATCGATGGTGTAACCTCATTTGGAGTACTGTGTACAGTTCTGGTCACCACACCTCAGAATGGATATTATAGGATTGGGAAAAGTGCAGAAAAGGGCAACTAGAATGATAAAAGGGTTGGAACACTTTCCCTAGGGGTCATTTCCTGCAGGAGCGCACAGGAGCGGCGCTCCGGCAGTAAAGTGCCCAGGGGGTGGGCACATGCAACAAGCCCCACCCCCTGCTCCCAGCAGCCCTCAGTCAGCGCAAGAAGCAGCCAGGAAAGTTGCAGAGCTCCCCCTTGCCCCCCCCAGTCCAAAACAGTCCAGTGGCACCTTTAAGACCAAGTTTTATTCAGGTACAAGCTCTCCCTCCTCTGCGAGGACAGATCTGTACACCTTTATTCCGGTACAAGCTCTCCCTCCTCTGCGGGGACAGATCTGCACGTCCCCCCCCCCCGATAGCTAGCCATCCAAAACAGTCCAGTGGAGCCTGAGCGGTGGGTGTTGCCTTCTGACACACTTCCGGTGATGCCAGGGGGTGTGGCATATGCAAATAAGTTATGCTAATGAGTT